TACGGGAGTGAGATGAGGAGCTGCGCTGGCCGGCCATGTTGGAATGGATTTTTTTGGGCGCGCTCCGATGAATGCTCGCTGAGGGAGGATGGTGTGATTTGGATCTGAGAATCCCCATATCTTTAAATAAGCAGTTTGTTCACATAGCTGGGGTGGTAAATGTAAAAACGCCCTGGCCTCTCGCATTCGTTCGACACGTGGAAGATGGCCATTATTGGACATGGAAGCCAAGAAGCGCAACATTATGAGAAGTCGGACACTATTTAACAGGTATTCGGAATTTGGAGAAGAACCCGCCTTGCAATGCGGAAGACAATCTGCGCGTCGGACTCATCGTCATTGAAGCCTGGTTCGGGGGCTACTGAGGGAGTCCTGGATTAGGGGGTATCTGGACAGGCGGATTATATCCTTTGGCCGGACTGTTGCACTATGAAGATACAAGATTGAAGACTTCGTCCCGTGTCCGGATGTGACTCTTCTTGGCGTGGAAGGCAAGCTTGGTGATACGGATATGTAAATCTCCTCCATTGTAACCGACTCTGTGTAACCCTAGCCCCCTCCGGTGTCTATATAAACCGGAGGGTTTAGTCCGTAGGACAACAACAACAATCATACCATAGGCTAGCTTCTAGGGTTTAGCCTCTATGATCTCGTGATAGATCAACTCTTGTACTACTCATATCATCAAGATCAATCAAGCAGGAAGTAGGGTATTATCTCCATCGAGAGGGCCCGAACCTGGGTAAACATCGTGTCCCCTGCCTCCTGTTACCATCCGCCTTAGACGCACAGTTCGGGACCCCCTACCCGAGATCCGCCGGTTTTGACACCGACACAGATATTGAAGCAATGATAAATCAGTGCCACAGGCTATCCCAACCTATATCATGGGGGTGTTCAAGCTACCGGTCTCGGTGTGTGACAATCTCACAAGATTGGTGAGGATCTTTTTGTGGGGTTCTAGAGATGGCAAGAGGAAGACCCACTGGAAAGCATGGGAGAAAATTATAGAGCCAAAGGGAAGAGGAGGTCTTGGCTTTCGTGACTTCCGTATCTTTAATCAAGCATTGTTAGCTCGTCAAGCATGGCGTTTACTAACAAAACCTGATTCGCTCTGTGCCATGTTGCTGAAGGCAAGATATTATCCTAATGGGTCTCTAGTGGACACTCTTTTTGCAGGCAATTCTTCTCCTACATGGCACGCAGTTCAGCATGGGCTGGAGTTGCTCAAGCAAGGACTAATCTGGCATGTTGGGAATGGAGAGCAAGTGCGTATTTGGCGCGATCCTTGGCTGCCACGACCGCCGTCGTACAAGCCCATTACGGCGAGGGGCACATGTCGCTTGCACCGAGCTATTGAGCTGCTGGATGACAATGGATGGTGGATCCCGGGGCTTGTCCACTGGCAATTTCATGCAATTGATGCTGCATGTATACTCAAGACCAAAGCGTCCCAGCGGCGTCAAGAGGACGTCTTGGCTTGGGCACCTGATCCACGAGGCATCTTCTCCGTCTGAAGCACATATCGTCTCGCCATCGACACCATGTGTGCCGCGAGCAGGGCACCGGACGGCACTCGTGCCGTCTGGAAGGCAGTGTGGGGGTGCCCTGCCAAACCAAAGGTACGCGTCTTTGCATGGCGTCTAATCACAAATTCACTTGCAATGATGGAGTACAAGGCTAAGAGAAAACTTGAGGTCTCTAACTTATGTGTTTTATGTGGCATGGAATCCGAGGATACATTCCATGCAATGTGCAGGTGCCCGCTAGCCCGTATGTTGTGAGAAGAAATTGCGGCCACCATCAGCATACCACGCCTCGACGACATTTGTCAACTCCGGTACTGAATGGGCATTGCTACTCCTGAATGAATGCCCAGAAGAGCAGCGACTACCGGTTCTCATGACCTTTTGGCGCAACTGGCATGTACGTAACGAGATTGTTCATCACAAACCAGCTCCAACCATTGAAGCATCACGCAGATTCTTATGTAGCTACATCAATAGCCTCCAGTGCATTGAGCAGCATTCCCATGGTGACATCTCTAAAGGAAAAATGGTGGTTTTCCAAGGACCTCAGAGGAGACATACCAGTGCGGCCCCATGGCCTGCCCTTGTACACGACCACCTGAGAAGTGGACGAAGCCTCCTGATGGCTGGTCTGTTATCAAGTCATAATCGTGAATTACTGAACCTGTCTTCTGGAACTGGTGTTTTCGACAGACAAAGGATCGATGTGTTTATTGAAACGTCGGTAGTTCTTCGTACACCACTTGTTTTCCATGCACGAAAATTGCAAGCTTAGCTATGCAAAGTTGGTTCCCACACAATAACCATCATGAGCTGCCATCCGAAATCATAGAGTTGAAGGTTTCAAACAGTGTATGCCTGCTCTCTACATGAGGATGGAGTGTGGAAATAAACCAAGCTCTGAATGGATCATACAAAAGGGTTTACTCGTAGTTGTAACCATCGGGAATCAAAGTACTGGCTACTCTTGGGTGTACTACACCCAAGTTTGCCCAAAAAAATGATATCAAACAAAGTCCAAAATCTGAAATTTTGCCACATTAAACAATATCGAATGTTTGAGGTTCAGGAAAAATTCGTTCAAAAATAACATCCAAGGAGCTCTAACAATAAATATATATATATATATATATAGGACAAATTTTATCTACAAGCGGTGGTAGTTACCTCCACGTTGCCTGGCTGCCATCTGTCCTCCTGTACGCCAATGCTAAACAGGCTAGTGAATGGAAAGATCCGCAAGCATTCCGCTGTATTTAATAATTTAAACAATTAATCACTAAATTTGGGCACGGTTAGTTCAACAAAGTGCTAATATCATGGCCACATGCATCGCATCCCAATCCCATTGTATGGATAAGGCTAGCTAGCTTTGACGTACTGCCCCCAAAAATCTGGGTATACATACACCTTTATGTATCTATACAATATAGTTTGAAATATTCATATTATATATTCTATTTTTTTCAATGGGAATCACACTATATATTATGTTCTCCCTTAAAAGTCTTAGTATACATACTCTATACTCCAAAATAATTTATAGTATGTAGTATATCTATTTTGATCCCCATTATTATACATACTCCATAGTCTATACTCCAGAATAATTTATATTATATGCTATATTTCCAAATGATATTGCACATACTGTATACTTAAAAAATTGACAGAATGTACTCCATAGCCGTATGGAGTAGGAGAGTATGAAGTATGTCCTGGAGTGGATAGAGGCCTTATATTATATATAGGGATACATACTATTTTGCTGGGGTATGGAGTATGTGCTATAACTGGGGTTTGGAGTATGAAGAGAAGGAGTGTGTCAATGAAATTGAAAGAGAGTATAATCAAGGATGGTGTATGTAGCATGTGTTTATGTGTGTGTATGTGTCCATGACGTACCACTATGGGAGTGAGTTTATTCATGAGAGGAGTATATTCATCTTACGGGGGAGAGTATAAAGAAGGTAGTATGGAGTATACTAAAGAATGGCAGTATGTAGTACAACAAAGAAGGTAGTATCAAGTAATAGTATATTTCACGGTATATGACATCGATTTGTCCAACGGTACAACTGGTTCGTCCATGCATGGAATTCTCGACCTTATACAATAAGCACTTATATACACTATTATCTTTCTCGATCGTTGCATGTGGCTCATGTTGGCTCACTATGGAAATTGTTGTGACAACACATCTTTTGCAACCGTACGCCGCCGCCGCCGCCAAAGTAGTCGCCCTCCATTGTGTGCTGCTGCATGTCGTCATCACGGCGCCAAGACTGTCAAGCAGTTACCTTGCCTTCATGAGTAGTTGTACATCGTTGTTTCTGCCGCCGTGACAGAGAGTATGAAACTCCTTGCAAATTCTTGCCGTAGTCCACATGATCTGTTTACGCTGGTCCTGAA